TAACGAACTTTACAGTCCATTTTGTTTCAGTGTCTGCTAAGCGAGTTTTATGAAGCAGACAGTTGGCTTTTCATTTAGGGGGAGGGTGGCGAGGCGGGCCTTTGCTTTTGTCAGCTTTTTTTGGCACCTTAACATTTGGTTCTGCTTCTGTGCCTTGATTATAAAAGCAAACAACTCCAAGAAGTTCGTTAAAATAAGCAGCAGCTAATTAACCTGAACTTCAGATGAGACACTGCTGACATCTCATATCATTTTACACTATATTAAATAGATGAATATCTTTTTCTCGTTTTTAAAAGATGTATTTTCAGAGTCCAAAAAGGCATTGGGATCGTCTGTCATACACTGGGGCTACTTACCCAGCAAAGATGACTATTTCCAAGTACTGTGCATGGCCGATGTTGTCATCTCAACGGCTAAGCATGAATTCTTTGGAGTGGCAATGTAAGTCCTTTCTATTTGTGATACGTGGTGAAGCAGTCTCTAATCAGCGGTACTGTGTGCGTTTGCTAACGATGAATTTCAGATAAAGCATCAGAATTCAGTGGTCAGAAGGAATGCAGTGGGCTGGCCCTTCATTTTGTCAATAGTACACTTTTTGATGATTGTTAAGGGTAGCCAAGGAACTTGCTTCATTTTTCCCCCACAGACAATCATATAAGGGCGGAAGGAAGGGCCAACCTTTCTAGTGTCTTCTCTCAAGAGAACCGAATTAAACTTTCTATTGTGGGGATGTGAGTGAATTCATAATTACTATTAGACCTTCCTCCTCCTTAGCATACTGTACAGATTTTTACAACTCCCACAAATATTACCTGCCCATCAGGAATAATCCTGAATCTAATAATACGCTTTTGAAAAAAAAAATTAAACTAATACGTGATGGATGTTAATGTCTTGTGCACAGGAACATTCTATCATGTCCTCCCTATCATCATGAGGGAGGACATGAAGGAATAGCAAGGGCCCAGATAAATGAATAAAATGAACACTGTCTAATAGACTTCAGGTGGGCGGGAATAGCTGCTAAATTTCTGAATATAGAGCATAGTAACATAATGGCCTTTTCCTCACTGGCCCTGACAAAAATGTGGCCATTTCTAATAATTTTATATAAACTGACAGAAGACAAACACATGTATTTTAACAATAGGCCACCATTTTTCTAGTGAAGATATGTGCATGTGTTATATATAACATGTAATGCACACATATAAAACATATGTATCTGCTTCTGTGTGTGTGTGTGTTTGAGAGAAGACAGAGTACCCCGAGTCTTTGTCTTCTGACTCTAAAACATGAATCATAGTCAAAGTCATTTGACTAACTCTATACCCTTCAGAAATAAATTCCATAAAGGATTACTTAGAAATCTCCTTTGGAATATCACCAAGAATTGTTTAGAAACTTGTCAGCCCATCTATTACAGACGATGTCTAAATGGGCTTTATTAAAATATGTCCAAAGAACCTTCAAAAAGAGATGAATTCCCATTAACTCGCTCTAGAAGGATACTCATCGGCCACACAGAAGTTATCCAGGAAAATGCAGATAAATTGGGGGTTGTAAATGGAGACACTTAGAAATGTGGCTAATTTTCTTTCTTCTCCACTGAAGCAAAGACAGGCTCTGAAAGGGACCAGGTACCGGGGTCCCTCCCCACAGCCCTGGGCAGATGGACCACTACCACTCGGCTTCACGCCGGCTCATTTACTTAGTGTTTTGCAATCCTTAATGTGCACAGCTGGCTGCTGAATGCAGGTTTGATACTAACAGTTTAGACATCTTTAGATGTAGCAGATGGAAAATTTTACACAAATAAAGTAGGAGAAAGTGTGCAATTAGGTTTTTATCTGCAGTTACATGATGCATCCTCTGTTTTAGTTTAGAACATCACCTTAGTGGGTGGTCATGATCTTTCCTGGTATCCAGGCCCTACCTTCTTGACACCACATTTGACGTTGGCTACATGCCCAAGTACCAAACTTTTGTTTTTGTTGAGTGTGAATGAAATACGGAATGCAACAATCAGCAAAGCAAACGACATACCATCAGTGAGATTGTAACAGTCCAGTACATTATGGCTACATTCCTTGCTAGTTAAGTCACTATGGTAAAATCCTTGGCAGGATTTTTTTCAATAGTTTATTCATGATGTTCATTATTATGAGTTGTAAAGAGTATGAGAATTTCATTTTTAAAATGTCTTATGGAATGTATCACTTTCTTAGATCTTGTAGACATGCTGTGGAAACCATAACATAAAATATGAGTTACTTACAATAACTAATTTTAATCCCATCTGCTAAGTATGACAACATTAGCATTTCCACTTAATTAAAAACACCCTTAAAGCAGCAATGTTTTAATCACTCCATTTTATTTACTCTCCTCCGGTGTCACTTATAATTGTAACTTTTTATTTTTTAATAATGAGGGATTTTTTTTTTCTCCTTGCATCACACAAAAAAGTGCTGTCGATAATTAGCAGTCTTCTGTTATTAGTAGACTCAGGTGTCACAACTGTGTCTCATCCTCATTACAGTAAAAAATTTCACCTATCAGATTCATTATTGCTAGATAATGCGACTGAGAGCCTTTGCAGGCCCTCCAGAAAAGTAATTCAGCCAAGCAAAATTATCAGCTAATTATATTTAGAATCAAAAGCCCAACAACTATTTGCAGATAAATTGTATGAATTGAAGTGAATAGATCTGAATATTAAGATTCATAGATTTAGCAGATGATTTGTTAATTGGAATAAAAAGGTCATTTGCTAGTCATTTTAACAATAGATCAATCGGAACCCTATTTATTATTTAACTGTTAGTGCATAAGAATTGAAATGGTGAATAATTGTATTATTGTCACGAGATGATCATTTTCTTCAAAATAATAAAATATGAGAAACCTATGGCAACGGATTTTAGAAATTTCTTTAAAAATATTATGGCCTATTTAATATATTTTAAGACATGGTTCTGATTAAATAATCTATATGATGAGGCTTAGTATTTAAAACAAGTCAAAATTATATCAAAAGTGGTGGCTGGTTTTTTATTTTTTTCCTGATGAATTAGAAATATTACCACAAATAAGATAATTTGCAAATAAAGGTTGAAATCCAAAATTTGTAAATTTTTCCTTCCTAAATCAAATAATGCCATTCCTATCTCACTGTATTTTAATTAGCAGAGGTTTTTGGAAGTGACATGCTCATACGATGACTCAAAATGTAACTTGGCCTGCAATTTTCTTTCGGGGAACAGAACACTCTAATTCAAATCCATTATTAAAAAGCAGATAACATGTGCACTTTCTGAAATGTCTGTGACTTCACTCTTTTGATTTTATGTAACTATAAGAGAATGTTCATATGTATTTACTTTTCAATTGGCACAGCATTTTAAAACTGAGTGTCTTCAGATAAAGTGCGGATTTTCTCTTGGTTCATAAAGAGTATCACCGGTTTATGTGCTCAAAACTTTAGTGAATGTTTTATAATGCGGTCACAGTGCAGTTTATAGCTGTGCTTGAGATAAGAAATTCTGTGAAATACCCTATGTATATATAGAAAAAAATATATATTAGTTTGGGTTTTGAGATTAATAATTGGTAACTAGATCCTGTGCCATTTCGCTGTGTTATCTTGTAACTTCTCTCAGTTCTCAAGCAAAACTTTGAACTCGGTATTTTCCCAAACTTTGCAGCTCAAAGTAAATACTTTTCATTTAAACTAATTTCAGTCAACATAATAAAATAGGGAAAACATCACCCACTTAAAAACAGCTTAAATTGCATGTGCTTTGTCACTATAAACAAACAAGGTAAACATTGACATAACTCCAAATTATTCTTGGGTTGAAAAAAATCTGCAGTTCAAAATAAAATTCCGCCTTTGGTCAACATTTTGGATGCAATTCAAAGTTTCTCATAAAATAAACATATTTTAAAGAGTGCTTTGAATTTCACTGTGTAATTTCTAGCCAACAGAAATTACAGTGGTATCTTTAAGGTTTATTATATGTCAGATCAATAGCCATTATGCAGGGCTAACAACCTTCCGAAAGGCAATACCTTCCCTCTGCTTAACCCTTACTACTATGACATGGAAGAAGAAAAAAAAACTTCCTATAGGTGTCCCTTGGGGAAATCCTCTCACAAAATGAAACTTTCTTGTTTATTTGCTTACTAATAAAAGTATTCTTTTCTGATAAAATGGGAAATGAGCTGAATTTTTGGCCAAGAAAGCAAAATGTTCATTAAGGTAATCTTCATGAGAATTTTTCAGTAAAAGGGGGAATAGTTTTGCATTCTGCAAAATAACAAATTATTTTGAAGCATGAGCTTAAAATGAAAATGCCCCATCACAGCAGATTGTAATTTTTTTTCTGATGCTTTTAAAAGTGCCTCGATCATTTCTGTGACTACAGTGTTAAAGTTAAGTATTTGCTATTTTATTTAAACATTTTTGAAAAATGAACATTCTGGGGCTTTGCAGCATTATTAAGAAAAGCTGTCCATACTTTACCATGTTGTTACATGTGTTTATCTGCTGATTATAAAATGTGTTAAACAGTATTTTAAAAACAACAAAAAAAAATGCAGAGCTGCGCTTTGATTAATTCAGTGAACAAAACATATGCTGTTGGTTCTGTTCTATGAAATTCATATATGATCAATAAAATCTTTTAAAAGAGCAACTTTGGCTTTAAGGCTTGTACTGCCGACCCTGTTTCTCGTCCCAGCTAACTCAGGGCTCACACTGTTAACTTAGGCAAACAAAACCACTTTCTGGCTATGATAGTAATGTCTTTTTAATATTTTTTTTATCCTCTTTCTAAAATTCCTTTAGGTTGGAAGCTGTGTATTGCGGTTGTTACCCACTCTGTCCCAAAGATTTGGTTTATCCCGAAATATTTCCAGGTAGCTGCTTTAATGTACCTTCATCTTTGTTGAGATTTAATACATGCTTCATGCTAAATGAGAAAGTTTGAAAATAAACTTAGGCAGGAGCAATTGTTTATTTGGCAAGTCAACATGTTAGTGTTAAGGAAAATTTTATGTGTTTTAATACATTAGAGTAAGCTTATATTTGCCATCTGTTCTTTTAAGATAACAAAAAAGCAAGTTTTCAAATAGCATTCTCTCATTGTTAGCATACACATCCCATAATGATGGATTTTTATAAGCAGGTCAGTGTTGCTGCAGTTGCTTACACATTTTTTTTAATGATATACACAGAGAAAAATCAAGGACTGGAAGTCACACCAAATTATTTAAACAATTGACTAGTTAATAATATGCAACTGTTGTTTCAGGGTACATACAGCTATAGTACCAGTTCTTGGAAAAAAATTCTCATCACTAAATATATCACATATGCATTGGGTTACATTAGAATAATGTATTTTAATCACCCAAAGGAGATGTCTAAACAGCACAACTACACAGTCTTACTTAGCATTAAACATCCTTGTGAGCTGAGGTAACCTTATAAAATCATGCTTAAATAATGTAAAACACGAGGCAGCACAGAGCAATATGCATTTTTAATTAGTAAAGTGACTAATATCGAGTGTGTGCTTTGAGGTTTTTGTTTCATTAAAAATGTATCTGTTTTTCCTGCAGCTGAGTATCTGTATTCCACACCTGAACAGCTTTCAAAAAGGCTCCAGATTTTCTGCAAGAGACCAGATATTGTAAGAAAACATCTTTATAAGGTAGATATTGAGGAGAGATTTATGTGGTATAAATGCCATATTGAAGTACAAAGAAAAATCTTTAAAAAAAAAAACATTTAATTAACATACTAATGTTTAAAGGAAACATGCTAGGGAGGGATATTAGTTGTTACACTAACAAGGATTAATTAAACTGCATGCCAGTTGTATTAACCTAGGTCTTATGAAATACGTGCACTTAATGCACGGTACATGCTTTTTTTTTAATTTATTGTTTTCTAAGATGACTGTCCTTTACATTTAGCCCCAAGAGGCTTATAAAAATGAACCTGGATTAATGTAACTCATTAGTTTAAAAGGAAGTAAAGGAAAGATTCCACAATTATACTAATGAGGATAAGCCTTTCTTCCCATCATAATGAAATCTTCAGGCCTCAAAAATTCAGGTGAATGACATTCGTGAAGTTTGGTGTTCCTTTTTTAACTACTTTGAAGATGATTTTCAAGAACTGAACGTTTCCCTTGTCCAGTTCAATAAAATGACCTAAAAATCCTCAGTTTGTGTAGAATGACACTGCCAGGCTCCTCTCTGAATGGCAAAGGCAAAGGGAGAATAGTTTTAAAACAGCCTCATCATGAAGTCCCCTCACTCATGATCTTTTTTCCCTTGTTTGAATCAAGAGTTTCACATTGTTGAAATCACAACACAAAGAGGCCCTGCTTAAAGTCTAAGTAATTGAACTGGGATAAATCTGCTTTACGACTTTGGAAGGTGGCTCTAGGCCATGAGTAATATACCTTTTTATATTCTTTGAATGTAGCATCTTCATTTTACATAAATTCAGTATAGTTTACAATCTAGCAGTTTTATAATCCAGTATATTTTAATTTTCCTATGTTAATGCATAACCTTCCCACATGAAATACAGTTTGCCTCCTTTTTTTCTCTCCTTTCCCTTTTCATGGCCTAAAATACATATTTACATAGTGATACATCAAAACAGGACTTTGTTTCTGCAGGAAACAGTTAAACTTCAAGAAAAAGGGAGAGAACCAAAAACGCAATTTAACACCCAATTTCAAGCTCATTATCTTTCATTGTCTATTAACTTGGCAATGGTTCAGAAGGTAGCTCATAATAGTTTAAAATGCTGACTGAACAGTTCCAGGCTCCAGTATTGCGCCTTGAGTCAATACGATCGTACCGTATATAGGGGAAGCTTCACAGACAAAACAGCCTCCCAGGGTTTCCATCCACATTCCCTAATTTTGGAAGTTCAGTAGTGGTCTGCCTTATATAAAATGTTACTCCAGTCATTTTCCATGTGACAGGCTATCGAAATGGGCAGATTCTGGAAATGGAAGAAATAGAATCCTGAGTATTTATGCAAATGGATTCCTTTTCTATATATGACACGGAGATCTTTTCAGTGAGCTCACCATCAACTCACTAATTTTGTTCTTCCCTCCTGGGGAATTTTTGGTGTAGGTTTGTTTGTTTTTCAGTTTTATTGAGATAGAAGTGAGAGCGCGGTGTCAGTTTACAACCTACCGCATAATGACTTGACGTCCACATCTTGGAGAATGGTCACCCCCATCGGCTTAATTACCATCTGTCATCTCATAGAGACACAAACAAAAAAAAAAAAGAAAGAAAGAAAATGTTTTTTTCCTTGAAGTATTTATAATGGTATTTCCACCATCAAAATGTATCAGTTTTTAACTTTGCTTCAGGTTAGGCCTCATTATCTCTGTTAGTCTTCATGGACAAATTTTTAACCATTTCAGAAGTTACTGCAACAAGTTGCCTTGAGTTACAAAAGAAAACAGACCTCCAGGGGCGCCTGGGTGGCTCAGTTGGTTAAGCGACTGCCTTCAGCTCAGGTCATGATCCTGGAGTGCCAGGATCAAGTCCCAGGATTGAGTCCAGCAGGGAGTCTGCTTCTCCCTCTGACCCTCCCCCCTCTCCTGTGCTCTCTCTCTCTCTCTCTCTCTCAAATAAATAAATAAAATCTTAAAAAAACAAACAAAAAAAGAAAACAGACCTCTGGTTGAAATATTTTAATACAGCTACCCCGTAACATGGCTATAATTATTTACTTTACAAACATCTTCTGGAAAAACTCTGAAACAATGTCATTCAGCTTAGTGATAATGCTGTCACTTAAATCAAATTGTTCCTCATACAGCTTAAAGATAACCTATGCCTTAAATGTTATTTCCTGTTACTGCTTTTTACATATGTTTTTGGTCTTTACATCCTAAAGTGCTCCATCTCAAAATTTTATAAATTAGAATTTTATGGGTCAGCATTTATAAGAATTCATATGTATGACTCTTTTTTATGTATTTTCTGTGGATTTTTTTCTTATAAATCTGTTACACACGTTCAGATGTGTCCTCATGTGTAAATCCTGATGATATTTTATCTAAAGATCAGTCTTCAGATTAATAAATTAGTCCAAGAATTATAAGTAATCAAGCTTTAGGATGCATTTGTCAGAGGAACTGGTAAAAACCACAGACAGAAAGGACCACAGATTTAGTTTGGTTATTGTAATAGGATTTAGAGCCAAAACAGAAAAAGAATGCGTTCTAAAACTTTATAATTAAGATCTAATAAACTATGATACTTCTCCACCTTATGTTTTATAAATATACACATTTTCAGGTAACATTTGCCTTCACTAAATACAAGAGAATTATTCCCCCCCAAAGCAGTATTTTCCTTACTTTTCTTATGCAATGGGAGAGTCTTTTGTGTGTACTGTTAACGAGAATGTTGGGGGTTTTTTTTAGACTTATTCCATTGGACAGTGCTGTTTTGCTTTTATAAAACATATGCTTCTAAGATCTAAAAGGATAGAATGTCACTGAATTCTTTAATTTGCTCCTTTTACATTTTTACACCTTACTCTCTTTTTTTGTCAAAAGTTTACATTTTAAAATCATCTCAAGTGCTTTTCACATAGGGTTCACTTTAGGATAGGATTTTTCATATGGATTCACACTTAGAAATTTAATGACTAGAATAAGGCTACTAACACTTGGCTTTCTTCTCACATGAGACATTATACTTTCAATATGAGTGAGAGTTTGGGGGCTATAACTTGAAGCAGGATTTGAAACAGAATGCTAGTAACTGAAAAGCAGAAACAGAATTGGATACTTTTTTTTTCTTAAAGTGACTCTTTCTACTACAGAACACTGTTGCCCATGACTTCTCACCTGAAATGATTTCAGATTTGAAATGTTTAAATTCCTCACATGCATGCAAGTATGTTCTCCCTTCTTCTTTCCCTCTCTATTTCTCTTTCACACACAAACACACACACAGACACACACACACTTTTCTTAAGATCTTTCTTAAGAGAAATCCAAAGCATGCAGAAATTAAATGTTTCTTAATCATTTTAAAAATCTAAAACCATTTTCCTAACTTAAAAAATTTGAACATTTCTTTAAAAAGTTTACATCTAAGTTTAGTCATTGACTGCAGCTTTCTCAGACTTTCGGGACACTTCCTCTTCCGAGTAGGTCAGACACATTGGCCACATACTTGTCACACAGATTAAAAATAGGTTTCATTTCATCCACGATAGGGAGCTTTTTGTGACTCCCAAATCTAACTTGAACACAAGATTCTAGAAGTAACCATAAAATAATTAGCCAAGGATTGACTTTTTACACTAACAATTCTCTTCCCTTTTCAACCCAAATAAGTCTAATACCACGAAGTTGTATTTTTGCCTCATTTTTACTATGTGAATTTACTTACTGAAAATTCCCAACAGCTTTCTGAGATCAGTACCTCGTGTTTTTACAAATTTCTCATCATATTTTAAAATGCCTTAGAAAAAAAAATTTTGGACATTACCTTGTTACCAGATTGAAAAGGGCACAGGGCACAAATGGGGCACTTGTGTAAAGTAAACACCGCCCAGACGAACGGGACAGATCTTCATTCCCATCCTATTTCTCATTTCCTTTTATTTACAAGTTGTGCGATCTTTTGTGTGCAAAAAGAGATGCATTCTCTCTTGTGCTTTCTGAGAGTGACCTGTAGTTTCTTAAAATTTTTCAACTGATAGCTGCTGATTTTTATTCTGTTCTCCTCTTCAAGTTCTGCAACATTCTAGAAACCTCTATGACCTGCTCTTAATTGGAGGAGAGAAGAATTCTCAGATTTCTGCCTCAAAATGACTCCAAACAATGATTAAGCTTACAGTTCAGATTCAGTGCCCAGAAAGCCATTTGTGGTTGTTGTAATTATGTCAGGCTCTGTCTCCCCCAACCACAGCCATGCCACTCTAAGTTTCCTTCAAGACCCTGGTCACTTTATAGTCCCCTTTTAATTTAAGCTTATACTCTACATGTCAGTAAGGTGTTGCTCACTTATATTAACACTCCTCCAAAGTCATTACTTTGTTCCTTAAAAATGAAAACTTAAAAGCTGGTGACATTTTTAGAACTTCTAAAAATCTCTCAACTGCCCCAGCACAATTTCAGGCAACTTCTTAATCTCTCTCCCTCCCTCTCTCCCTCCTCCCAGGTCTTCTCCCTCTGTCTTTCTTCACTTCCTTCCTTGATTTTATTTGGCTTGGTTTTCCTTTGATTTGTCTAAGCAAAATAAAAGCAAAAAACCTTTAGCACAATAGATAAACTTTGGGGGATCAAGATCAGTTAGAGGTTTTGGCGTCTCGTCCTCCTCTGCTACTCATTTGCAGCCTGGCTCTAGGTGAATCTCTGCGTGATTCATCTGTTAACCTGGAGGAATTTTTTTTTTCCTAAATTCTTAATAGCATTTTTCCCCCCTGAAGCACTGCTATAATGAAATAATAAATATAAACCTGTTCGTAAACTCAAAGGGCTTTACACATTTCACATAATAGTAATGGCATTTCTCCTGTGCCTTAACCACTTAAAAGTGAAATTCACATCAGCAAATGCATGGGTTAAGGGTGTTGTGTATCTTGTGTTTATAAAAGTTAAAAGTTGGATGATTAACTTTGAATAGCCGTCATCCATAACAAAAACCAGGAAATAAGTGTGCAGCGGATTGCATCCATTTACAAAAAAATCCGGAGCTTTCCCCTATGGTTGAAAAGACAGTTCCACTTTAAACCAATCAGAAACTGGGATTTCCTGAGTTGATGAAACTCAAGAACCATTTACTTGGTGGCTTTTTGAAATCTAATTGACGTAAGTTATGCAAATTTGCAATATGAATTTTGAGCATGCTTTCGTCTTTGGGTTGTTAATGCTTCTTCATTGCTTTCTCTTCTCTCCCTCCCCCTCACAGGGTGAAATGACTCCTTTTTCTTGGGCAGCCCTACACGGTAAATTCAGGTCTCTGCTTACAACAGAACCTAGGGAAGATTTGTGACAGATGGGGCTAAGTCACAAACTTGCAGCCTAAGGCAGAATCTGTAGAACTTTCCAGAGTGTGCCCATATTTACCTGATCAGAGAGAAAAGAAAATCTGCAGAGGAAGCTGAGCCTGGCTGCTTGTCATAGCTGACACAGAGCCATCTGCCACAAACCTGTGGCGGCTTCAGATCTCCCATCCCTGCCACCACCCCAACTCAAATTAAATACAGATTCCTAGAGACGTTAGGATGGTTACACATGTCCTCGGCATCACATGGAGGAGACTGTTCAAAAAAAATATGTGGCCTGTTGTATAACCGCACTCATGTATCCCATATGTGGTGCCACATTGAATTTCCGGTTGAATCCGTTTTTATCCTTTGTACTGGATGACATGGTGCCTGAATTCTTTCTTTTTGCCGACACGATGGCAGCCAAACTGCAGCTTCAAAAGCTCGCGCTTGGCTGGGTTTCCACCTAGGTTGCCAGGTTATCATTGGAGCCTTCTTGTGTCCTCAAAGGGCCACAGGGTCTGAACGGACGATCAGAATGCTACCAGGCTAATTGGGCAGCCATCTCAGAATTGTTCGTGGGCAAAGGGCTGCTTTAGCACTTTTATTTTAGCAAATTAACGACTCTCTAGCACAGGGGTTTTTAAGTGAAGGTATTAATAAGGGGTCTGGCAGGTAGTCCCATGATTCACAGTTACATTTGCATTTAATTTATTTTAAAGTTGCGAGATAAACAGCTGTAATTTGGACAAACATGGGAAACACACTAAGTGGGGCCATCTTGCCCATAAAAGGAACACTGAGATACTTGTTTTAATTTTTTTCCTGGGGTAAAAATAGAGAAATCAAAATACTTCCACTAAAACAGTAATTTTGATAGAAATATTCCTCAAAAATAGTTGCATCCAGCTACAAATATAATCTTTTCAAGATAAATCGCTTATGATTCCAATAGTCAAGCTGCTGTATTTGTTGATATAAAGATGTTTTGAACAGCTAGATTGTAAAATAAATTTTTAATAAAGTGCCTACTGCAATTTTTAATTAGCATATCTCATTTATGTGTAAGAGTGTACATCTATCTGTATGTTTCTCGCTGAATACTTTCCTTGTGTCAGAGACAACGAATACAATTGTTTCTTTTCCGGATGTACAGGGATCTGTTTTGCAAATGTTTGTAAGATATTATGACATTTCCAAGATTGTCTTTGCATTCTGGAAAGCAGGAGGTAAACATTTGTAGTCATTAAGGTAAAGTCTGTTGATAAACCATCTTCTGTTTACTGACAGGTAAACTGTAACTTTCCTAGCTTTTGAAAGGAATAACTTTTATACACTGCAGAGTGAGGGACAGCAAGGGAGCGGAGGGTGGACAAGGGCCAAGCATGGCCTTCTGGCTTCTAGAAGGACCGAGTGGTCTAGCAGGCATCCGAGATAGAGCAGGCGATGATTCAGAAGTCC